ATCAGCAAACAGATTTGCTATTTTTTGGCCACCATCTGCAGTTCTTATGACTGAAACAGATAAATTTTTTTCTCGAAAACTGTTAGAGATAAACAGATAAATTGAACTTTATATCATTGAAATCAGCAAAAGCAGAGCTATCCAAATGAGCTGTTATTATTGTATAGGGTGTCCTATTTAAAAAAATCGGACTTTGGTTAATATCTCAAAATGGGAGCGAAATAGAAAAAAAACTGAGTACGCCACTGAATTGTGCTCAAAAAAGTATCCCAAAGATGTTTTCACAGAAATAAAAAAAAATGATAAACAAAAAACTTATAGCCATTTTTCATAATAGGGGAAAATCGAAAATCGCCCTGTATTAATGGTACCATTGAAAATATCGCGATACGGTTTTTGACAATCGACGTTTCTCGAAAATGAATCCGATGACATCTAAGTCAATTTTCCTCTATCTGGTCTGGAAGTATGTTTTTCCTGTTAAAACACTCCAAATTGCAGCACCCTGTACATAAAAATGTCTTTTATAACTTTGTTTTTTTTTTTTCAACTAAGAACGTAGATTATACCGGGTGCCCACGAGATTACTTTCCGGCTGCCATTTTTTTATTTTTCTATTGATATCAATGAAACTTGGTAGGGGTGATATTCTAACCAAACGACATTTTTATGCATTTATGACAAGTTTTTCAGACTTCCGGTTTCACCGGAAATGACCGGAACTTTTGATTTTTAAATGGCACACCCTGTATGTTTTTTCTTTTTCGGATTCTAGAGATCGTTTTACGGCCTAATGCACCACGTTGGAATAAAGTTTTGTCCAAATTTTGTTTTTAAATTAAATTTTAATTTTTCAACTAGAGTGCCATGATCATCCTAAAATGACTCTACATACTTTACTTAATTCCAGAAAAATATAAATTTTATCCTCGTAAACTTTTTTAAGAGATGGCTGTAAACTTCATTATTTTAGTATTTTTGCCCTAGTTCGAAAACTGGAATAGAAACATATCACTTTCATAACATTACTAAATGCAGTATTTTAAATAAAATCCAACTATATTATACACTACGATATATTTCTTAATTTTCGTTCAAACATTTTTGTTTTATTATGTAGGTAATTATTTTTTTTTTCTACTTAAAATTCAATTTGAAAACGAAATTTGGACATAACCAGATTTTAAAGCGGTACAATAGGACGTAAAACGATCTGTAAAATCTGAAAAACAAAAAATATACAGGGTGTGCCATTTAAAAATCAAAAGTTCCGGTCATTTCCGGTGGAACCGGAAGTCAGGAAAACTTGTCATAGGTGCATAAAAATGGCGTTTAGTGAGAAAATCAACCCTTCTAAGTTTCGTTGATATCGATGAACAAATAAAAAAATGGAAGCCGGAAAGTAATCTCGTGGGCACCCGGTATAGAAGAACAAAGTTTATAGCAGAGTATTTCCGTCAAATTCAAGCATTTGTGAAATACGTACTGTAGTAAGTTTTGAAAAACATCATATACTGTCACCAAATCGATTTATAGAGACCCAGGGCTCAAGCCCCCCCAAAACCAACATGCTAGTTGCGCCCCTGAATTAGGTACTTTTTAGGTGCTAATTAGGGCCTCTAATTAAAAATTAGGTGCTTCCTTAGTTTTTGAGAAAATCAAAAAAAAACTTATGGACTGTTAAGTTTGTCTATGAAAACTAGCAGTCCCCTATTGTAAAAAATATTTTTTCAAATTTTCCGTTTATATCAGAATTAGGTGCTTTCTAGGTGCTTCTAAATAGTCGAAGAAAAAATTGAATCGGTTAATAATTATTAACTGACATACAGATTTTTTTATTATTAGGGGACTACTAGCTTTCATAAACCTAGCAATCCCTTAGTTTTTTTTGATTTTCTCAAAAACTAGAGGAGCACCTAATTTTTAATTGCAGGCCCTAATTAGCACCTAAAAAGCATCTAATTATTATATAGTTCCTGAAGTTTTTTTCCACCTTGGGACTGCTAGGTTTATAGACGTTTTTAAATGGGATTTTGCTAATTATGGCCTTTAAAAGTGGAAATTTTTGCTAGAAAATGAAGAAAACTCAAAGCCTCGTATGTTAAATCGCTTTTTCCCATTAAAAATCCCCGGTAAAGTCGAAAATTCGAGAAAAAACTGGCAAAAAATCACAAGACGTCATTTCAAAATGGCCGACTAAAAGCAACATTGCCACATTACATATCGGAAAACAAAAATAACAATTTGAATAGGTTTTTTGTTTAAAATTCAATTTAATAATTAATTAATAATGATATTTATAATTAAAATTCCCTAGATAAAGCATCGGAAACTTGTTTTTAGTTTAATTTCAAAGAGAACATTACAAGGTTTACTTGTTGATTATAGTGAGTAAGACAAAGACAACGATAAAGTAATATGTGATTGCAAAAATCACTGTTTTCTGAAAAAAGTAAAAATGTTAAGAAAACCCAATAGAAAACCAACATTCCAAAGTCAACTTAATAAAACCAAAGAATATTATAGATTAACGTCTATAAAAAACTAAAGTTTTTGAATATTCCCGGCTCTTTGATTGGGTGCTAAAAATCGCATTTTGAATATTCCCAGTTTTTGATTGGCTCCAAATTATCCGCTGACCAATAGAATTATAGACTGAGCCCTGTGATTAAAATAACTTTAGCCCTTCGGGCTCTCGTATAACTCCGGCCCTTCGGGCTTGCATATAATTAACAGTTTTCCCGATCAAAACCGGCCTGGAAAAGTAGAAAATACGAGGAGAAACTGGATAAAAACACTCGAAAATGGCCGACTGTCTAATTAAATGCCAAATGACATTAAATTACAAGACCAACTTGAACAAAAGCGATGTTGCCATAAGTACAATTTCAAACATAATGTTTTTTCAGATTTTAGTGAGTAAAACAAAGAGGATAAGGTAGGATACATTAGTAAAAAAGCAAAAGCGATCATAAATGAGTAAGACAAAGAGCGAGATAAAGTAGGAAACAATTTAAATGATCAGTTGGTCGAGCCAAACTATCATCAGAGTAAATTTTCGATTGTTCCCGGTTCAAACACTTGGAATAAATACTTAATTTTTTTTTGACAACTGACAAGCCTACATACAATATTATGACTTTTGACAATTGACGAGTTAATTTTCGGGACCACCTACGATTGTTATGACTTTTTTGATTTGTGATTCAGATTGAGGCCTACAATAGCAACGTTGCCACATTTTAACGGTAATTTTGGAGCATTTGTAATTGTAAATGTAAAACGTTGACAAGTGGCAATTGACATCAAGAAACGATTGTTATATGATGTAAGCTGATTGAAATTTTTAACTTTTGGCAACACTGTAACGCTAGAGGATTGAAATGACGTTTTTTTTTAATCATGAGCCCGAAGGGCTCTGGTACAATTTTTCTTTAATTTTGGTACAAAAAATTTTTGCTCTCTGGCAACACTGATCTGAATTAATTCTGTCAGGTCAAAATTTTTTGAATAGAAGCCGTGCCGCATGCATCTCTGATCTCATAGCGATAAGTTTCGCTATTTAGATGTTCATTAGCGCGCCTGCCAGATTCTCTCAGGTAGATGCCATCTAGATTAGATTGGGTGACGACACGCGTCGCGACGCCCGTCACGCCTCATGAATCGCCGTTGCGGCACGCGTCATTAATTTCGGCTCACGTGCGTAATTTTAGGTGGCGGTCCTTTTCTTTTCATCTCTGCTACGGAATTTTTTATTTTTTTTAATGGAAATTTATCCAAAAACTTACTATAGGCTATAGGCTCTTCCTGATGATTTCCATACCTACTTCCTCCGATTTATTTAAACTTTCCCGCAATGTATGTCTAAACTTCTTTGAAATTTTCTCTACTATATTTTTGCACTTGGTTGGAGATGGGAACTTTCGTTGCTTGCAGAAAACTTTTTAAAAAGGAAAGAAGAAAAATGTTGAGTTTTGTAGTTTTAGTCTTAAAACCAAAATGTCGAAGAAAAAAAGAAACGTGTGCACTTCCCAGTTTTTTCCTTCTGATCATTTTCTATCCAACCTTTTTCTACGTTATTTTTCCAACATTTTTCTATTAATTCCCCATAATTTTTTCAAATTTCTCTGCAGGGAGTATTTGATTAACTATGAAACTATAGCGAAAAATTGCTGACTTGATAATGAATTTTGAGTGAAATTGAATTAATGTTCCATCTTTGGGTTCTATATTTTCAGCCTTTGGTATAAATATAACAAAAACAACCATCACTAAGGCCATTAAAATTATTTATTTACCTAAACCTTGAACGATGATTCTATCTCTAAGATTTATCTAAAACTTTAATGGCCTCGCGGCTTGCCAAATTAACATTGCGGTACACTAATTAAGCTAAAACCATACAAAAAAAAAAAAAAACTACACTACATAATTTGCAAAATAATGTTTCACGGTTCTTTATATGGAATTTCCTTTACACGTGTAAAAGATAGTGACCTATCGGGGGGTTATTTTCGTCACCCCGAAAAATCATTAGTCACTGAAATATTTCTTTCAAGTTTTACCGGCTTGGTATTCAGACCACCCTTTGAGCGCATATTTAACAAATCATTCGGATAAGTGATGACTCGGTATAATATTAATAAGGGGAACCTCGTGCCGTTGGTTTTCTTCCCCAAAGGGACGGAAGTCAACTTTAGGCAAGTGTGAAAGGAATTTAAGGAAAAGGCGTATAATGCAAAGGAATATATCTTAGATGAATCTGGAAAGTAAGTTTCTGCATTACTAATTTGAAGGGTTTTCTTGTCATATGTGTAATTTACTAGTTTTCACCAGAAAAATCAACCATATAGTTTGGCATCATGATTATCAGAAGTTTTCTAACACTTCCAGCTAAAATCTCCACGTCTGGATCTTGGAATAATTCTCTTGATGATCATCTGGGCCATTTCAATCTAGTTTTTTGAATTTTTATCAACATTCTTCTAAACTTGAATGACTTTTCTCTTAACTTTGTCCAACTTCTAAAACAGCTTCCCCTGATTAACATTTAATTCAAATTGTTTCCAACATAAGATACTCATGTAACATCTTTTTGCCTTAAAAACTTATTCTTTTTGCAATTTTGCATCAATTCCATTTCCATTCAAAACGTGCATTAATCAAGCAAATTAACCACCCCCGCACGCTCTAAATAATGAAGATAAATCTACCTAAGAAAAAGCAACATCGAACCAATGAAATCTCAAAGGCGGACTTAATTCCACTACTCCTCACATTATTGGTTCTCACGAGCACAAAGTGACTTAACTACCGTCTCTTTTCAGCGTGCGTGCGTAAGCTCCGTCAAAGCTTCCTTTCATTCTCATACGAACCGTGTTGGAGTGCGCGTTATTCAAAAAAAGTTTTTTTCTAAGTGTGGTAAAATGTTGTCGCGTGCGTTAAATGCAACAGTGACGTCGACGGTACCTGAAACGAGCCCTAAACAAAGTAGTACTGCCGATGGTGAACAATTGGACAAAACCGAAATCAACGAAGCTGTTACCAAAGTTTTGCAAGGGTACGATTGGACATTGGTACCAATCGCTTCAAAGTAAGAACCAATTTTTTTTAAAATCTTTGATTGTTGATTTTACGAGTGTACTCTACAATCTAGGTACATTATAAATCAACTGTTCCCTCTACATTGTTGATTATTGAAGTTTCTATCTATCTATAAGTACCAATTGGACAAAATGTTTCTGGATTAAACATCCTTTTTATAATAAGGTACCTACATTATAACTCTTCAATATTTAGATTTGGAAGGTTCCTCAATTTGAAAATTCTTGATTTTCATTTTTCAGAAGCATCTTTGTAGACCTCAATATCCTTAAAGCAAATTCTAATGGCTAAAGTAGCTTCCAAATTATTCACAATGACTTTAGTTCTGTTCAGCTTCAAAATTACTTGAAACTTCCATTAAATTGGCTATTTTTTAACAGGTTTGTATGGTTAATAAGTAACTTTCTTAATCACCAATCAAAAAGAACAAAACGTTGCACCATCATCAGTATGAAAAAAGAAAACTTTAGGGCCCAGTCAGCAGTATACGATGCATTATAATATTCTATTGCGATAACAATAACGAGCGAATAAAAATAATTCTAAGGATAAGATAACCAAAGCTGGCACCCGTTGTTTATTATTTTTTTAATGGTACCGATTAAGGCGAGGAACACGATCGTTATCTATTCGGTATTTTTATTTTTTTTCGCAAGGAAAGCATCATCCTTAATATGGGTTCTTGGAATTGATTAATTCCAAGTATGATATTGTTATGTGGGTTCGTGAATATTAATTTTATTTTATTCAAAACAATAACGCAAAATTCACTTCAATTAAGCTTAGTAAGTCAAACAATTAAATCACAACTGACTGTCTTACTATCGACAAACATTCAATTAATCATTGACTCCGTTTTATAGCGCGTCGTTCCTTGTAGAATTGTTTAGGCACAATTTTGACAAATTCAGACTAGATTTACAGCAGCAATATTAAGCCCAGGGGCGGATATAGGCCTTTTGAAAGGAGGAGGGCACTTTAAGTTAAAGTAAGCCAGATTGGGTTAGTTTGGGTTAGTTTTGGCAGCGCATTGTGCAAGATACGGTTTTTCGAAGGAATGGCCCATAAAAATATGGGAATGGCGGAACTATTTAGAAGAATAAGGTGATTTTAAATATGTAGGTACAGGGTGTTTTTTTTGGCTGAATTTTTAGAAACCATGGTCAGACACAAAATTTGAATGTCAGAAATGTGAAATTTTGCATGCTTCCAGATTTTTTCAAATGGGATGCCCTATATTTCATTCTATATTCTTGAAGAGCACAATGCCCCGATTCCAAAAATATATAGTTTGTTTATATTTGATTGAACAGTCTCTCATATATTCGGCTCCAAAAATTGTGAAAATACTATCCTACTATACTGATTTTGTGAACCATTCATTCTACCTATACAGGTGAAAGATGCAGGTAAAATTTGAGGTACTTGGTTTCTCTGATAGTATTTTTAAAATTTTTAGAACCAAATATGTTGGAGACTGCTCAACCAAATATAGATAAACTATATAGTTTTGGAATCGGGAAATTGTGCTCTTCAAGAATATAGAACCAAATATAGGGCATCCCATTTGAAAAAAGCTGAAAGCATTTAACATTTCACATTTCTGACATTCAATTTTTGTTTCTGACCATGGATTCTAAAAATTTAGCCAATATTGTACAACTTTTATATTTACACCTTTCATCTACTTGTAAAGGTGAAGGCTGTAGGTGGGGTGTCAATATATAAGAAAACACCCTGTACTTTTTATGTACCTTTCAACAGGAATTAGTAATGTTACTTTACCAAACTAGTGTTGCAGAATTTATGGGTGGACCTCTGCGGGACAAGCGCAGCGAGTTCCGCAGTCATCTATTTATTAATACGTTGTTCAAGTACAATACTAACCTGACTCACTCAAATGTCAGTTATTCTCATTAGTTCAAAAACTACAAGTTTCAGGTAAGTGTCTTATTTGAATAGTTCAACAGTATATTGGGGAGTAAATGGCTGCGGAACTCGCTGCGCTCGTCCCGCAGAGGTCCACCCACCCATAAGTTCCGCAATAATCCACTTATTTGTAGAATCAAGTACAATACTAACCCGATCCGCTCAGTTGTGAATTTTTCTCATTAGTTCAAAAACTACACGTTTCAGATTATGAGTGTCTTATTTGAACAATTCAACAATATATTGGTGAGTAGATGGCTGCGAAACTCGCTGCGCTCGTCCCGCAGAGGTCCACCCATAAGTTCCGCAATAATCCACTTATTTGTACAGGGTGTTATTTAATATATTGACACACCACCTATATCCTTTACTTTCAGTCAGAAACAAAATTCGAATATCAGAAATGTGAAATTTTGCATGCTTCCAGCTTTTTTCAAATGGGATGCCCCGTATTTAATTCTATAATCTTGAAGAGCACAATGCCCCGATCTATATTTGATTGAGCAACCTCTAATATTATTATATTTGGCTTTAAAAATTGTAAAAATACTATCTTACTACTGATTTTGTGAACCATTCTACCTGTACAGGTGAAAGCTGCAGGTAAAGGTACTTGGTTTCTCTGATAGTATTTTTAAAATTTTTAGAACTAAATATGTTGGAGACTGCTCAACCAAATATAGACAAACTATATAGTTTTGGAATCGGAAAAACGTGTTCTTCAAGAATATAGAATCAAAAATAGCGCATCCCATTAAAAAAAAAGCTGAAAGCATGCAATATTTCACATTTCTGACTTTCAATTTTTGTTTTTGACCATGGATTTTAAAAATTTAGCCAATGCTGTAAGTACAACGTATTTACACCTTTCATCTACCTGTAAAGGTAAATAGGGCTGTAGGTGGGGTGTCAATATATGAAAAAACACCCTGTACATAATCTTATTGATTTTGCATGAACAGCGGCGCAGCCAGCGAGGGGGGGGGGGCAGGGGGCCTGGGCTCCCCCAAGGCTTTAGAGAAAAATAGAAAAATAATGAAGTAGACAAAAGCTGTAAACTGCTCATATTATAAAAAGCAGGGGTTGTAATAGTATATTACATTACGAGTGTAGAAAGTGACAAATTTCATACGAGTGTTTTTTCGCGCAAGGCGGTAGCCGAGTGCGAAAATCACACAAGTGTATGAAAGACGCTTTCTCACAAGTGATGTATTATCCGTTCACAATCCGATGTCCACTGGTACAGGTAAAATGTATCACCTTTCAATGCTATTTGATAGGGAAGGTGATAAATGTACCTGCACCTGTGGACATCGGATTGTGAACAGGATATACACTATTTTTCCTATTACCAGAAACCGATTTAAACTAATTTTCTCTTATTTTATTTCTTCTCATTTTCAACATATGTGCTGAAAATACTTTCAATCTTCTAATACGTGTATTCAATACACGTATTGAAAGTAATTTGTGATGTCAGTCACAAATAATGTCAACAGTATTTTCCACACGTAAGCTGAAAGTACTTTTCGAACGCGTATTGAAAGTACTTTCAGCACGCGTGTGATATTAAGCGTTTTCCAAAGAACCAGCTAGTGCGTATTTTGTCATTTTCGTATGTGGTCGTAGAAAAACAAAAAAACGTTTTAGGTTTATTGTGTATAAAAAAAAATCTAAGAACAACATCGAAATCCTCGCCTCTCTACCGGATTTCTATCAAAACATATCATATCAGTCTTTAGAGTTTGCAACAGAACATAGACGTGACGTCACAACCGCTTGAATCCCCACAGATTCTGCTTTTGTCTAGTTTGGTTCAAAACCAAAACTCATATTTCACCTATTTGAGTCAATCCGTATTTAAGTGCGAGTCGCAGGATTTTATTAGAGTCTGAGCATTAAGGGTCTGAGTACTCTAAGTCTACGGTATTCGAGCGGTTGTGACATCACGATTCCACGGTTGTTTTGCGAATATCTCGAAAACCGTAAGGCATAAAATAGTGCGGCTTGGAATATTATTCTCAGAATTTTTTATACAGAAATTTTGATTTTTGGTTCAAAGGATAGTGAGGCTGTGTATATTCCTATAATTTTTTCCGCATGGCCCTCCCAGGCCCAATGTCTGGCTGCGCCACTGTGCATGAATATTTATTTATTTGAACAAAACAAAAAACAATACATCAACTCAACCACTAATGATATACTGTTTGAGGTTAAAGTTCTTGGGACAAAGACAAAAGTGTGATTTTTTTAAATAGGTTTCTAGCTTTCTAAACATTCTTAAAACTCAAAATATGGTTTTGTTGTGCCCCTCCACTGTATCCGCCATTGATGAAACCAGTGATTATTCTGAGGCTGAAAAATATCGGAATGTTGCTAGAAAATCAAAGGAAATAAGATGATAAAAGTCAAATAATCTGATTCCGGAAATCTAATTAACGTAGATCTAAACGAATCTCTGATGAAAGAAAAATAATTTTTGGGTCTCATTGTTTTTTGGATGATTTTTTTCTGGAGAATCAGAATTTGGTTTATATTATCGACTCTTGATTTTTTCAGAAAGAATCTCTTAGAAATCAAGTAGGTTTCAAGAATCAATATTTAATATTTTAACATGTAGACTATTTTAGTGGCTCTTGATTGATTTTGGATGAATTTTTCTGTGAATCAAGAGCAGGTAACAATCAAAATTTGATTTATTATCGGCTCTTGATTGGCTTAAAAAAGATATTTAACGAATCAAGTACCAGGAATCAATATTTCGAGATTAATCGGCTATTGATTGGACTTTTTTTGGCGAATCAAGAGTCTGTAATAATCAAATTTTGATTCATTATCGGCTCTGATTACTTCAAAAAGAATTTACAACGAATCAACTACCATCAGGAATCAATGATTCGACATTAAGCGGCACTTGATTGACTTTGGGCGAATCAAGAGCTGGTGATGATCAAAATTCAATTTATTATCGGTTCTTGACTGCTACATTCGATCGGGAGATCTGACGCTTCCCGCCTTTCGGCATAAGCTTGAATGTCCAAATCGGTGTTCGCATACCCA